AGCTTTTAGTCGCCTTTTCACCGTGGTCAGAGATATTGGATTCGGTCTACTATCATTAAGTCCTACACGAATTTCCGAGGCCGTTAGTCGTCTGTTTCGTTTGCAAATAATATTTATTCTTACATCTTCAGCTCTCGACGTGATTTTGGGTCTTCCTGACCGTGGTTTGTCTTTCAAACTATGATACTTTCAATTTCCTTGCAATATTCCGCAAAGAATAACCTTCCTTTCTAAGTGTGATAATTGCACTTCGAGTTTCAATACTAATTTCTATTCTTTTTGCCATTTTAAAGTATTAATATAAAATTTTAGCTGCTGATCACGTTTCAACGCCTTCGTTCACAAGAATGGTGGCAATGTATAACAAATGTCCGATTTATACATTTTCTCGGCCCCCGGACCAGCCAATTGGAATCTAATATTGTAACATTCGACGCTTATTGGTAAACAAAAGAATCGCGAATTCCTATATAAGGCGAAAACCGAAAGAGTATCTTTCCCGGCAGTAGAAAAGTTCATTCCGAGCGTTGCCTTAAACTGAGTGTATGAATTATATAATAGTATTATGGACATAAGAAAATGCTGAAATCTCTTAAAGTATAATTCAACTTGTTAACATCTGATATATTAACGATGGATCATTCCAAAATTTACCGGTATATTCGATTTTGATAGAAATCGGTAAGTGATTCCAAACTTTTGGCCGGTAGTGTATATACGTACTTCAGGTTGGCGTGTTTCAGATTTATTAGCCGCAGTCTATAATATACAGGGTTTCGCGTTTAACTGGAAGCACGCGAATATCTCGCAGATCGTTGAAAATGGGAAAAAATTGTTGTTTTGAAAGTTATTCGATGTGAAGGAGGACATTGTGTGATATAAAGAGTTTTTTTTGTGTGTATGAAGTGGTAGTGGAAATTTCAAGATCAACTTAATTTTTTTTAATGGGACATTGTACATCTTTATTCATAATATGTGTGACGCATAAGATTGTGGGATTTATGCTTAGGTGAATGTTGAGTTTGTTCAACCCTTCACAAATAATCTGAGTAACTTTGTACTGGTTTGTTCCTTTTATTTAAATATGCTAGTTGAATGGAGTTACACTGTGTCTACGCTCGAATCATCTCTGTCTTAAAAACGCTGTTTTTCTTCTTTTTTATTAAAGATTTCACTTGAAAATTGTGGAGAGCCAGCTGAAGTAAGTCCTCCTTGTGCTCTGAAAAAATTTAAGAGACGATAGTTGTTTTGATTATTGGTACTTGGTGTGAAAACGATGCATGGGCATAAATTCGTGCAGGAAAATTTTCAAAGAACCTGCAAAGCGGGAAAAAACGCTGTTTCTCTTGTTTTTTTTCATTCTTCAACCTGAAATTTTGTAGAGCCACCTGGAGTAAGTCCTCCTTATGCTCTGAAATAATATAATAGACGTTAGGTAACATGAAGATAGATAATTGGAGTAAAAAACCATGCACGGGCAAAAAAAAAAAAAAATGCTGTTTCTCATTCGAAACTTGCCTTCTTTTCTATTTAAGCGCGCAAGGACCATAACGAGTACCGATTTTATTACACTTGTCTTTGCACCTAATTGGTGCGCGCATGTTTAATTTTGCCTATGCTATAAGATCATTCAATGCAGTAGAAGATTATTAAAACATTTCCTGAATAGACAATTTAACAGAAACTAAGTGGTCAAGTTAGAGTCCATAGGAAGTGTTACATATAGAGATTGCGTGAACAATTAGGTCATCCCATAAGTTCGTGCCAAATTTTATAATTTATTAGGTATAGAAATGAATTCTTTCCGATTTTTGAGCACAATTAAAGTTTTATTTAAAAAAAAAATGAAAGATCAATAATCGAAATAATTTACATTATTGTTAATGAACTTTTGCCATTTTTCTGACAGTTTGCGAATATTATCGCGATAGAAACTCGGTGGTTTTGAGTCAATTATGTGAATCCAGTCGGAAAGAATTCATTTCTACACCTACTAGATCAATATTTCCAATGAACCTTTAAATTTGATTAAAAAAAAAAAAAACGTAAGCACCTTCTCATTTTACAACTTTTTTCTATTTTGTTTTTGTAAGACCATTATGTCATCGCTATAGCATATCCTTGGATTTTCATTAACACGTTGACTGCCACGGTGGTCATATGTGACCGCAGATTGTTTC